TGAACTTTCTTTCCCTGGAATTTTATCGCCCACCAGTGATGCTTGAAGTTCAACATGACGACAAAGTGCTGGGTTACCGATGTGATTCTTCCTCCAGAACTATTACTCCGCAGCTACCTGATCATCCATCCCAAATCAAAGGAATTCGGAGTGCCAATGATCGGATGTTCACTTATTCTTCTTGGTCTTCTCGCTCATGGCTCATCATACGTGGTGCGCAACCGGCGGTTCAACAACAACATGGGCTCGATGCTCTCAAACGCCTTTATGAGGCCAAAGGTTTCGAATCTCACCTTCTGCGGGATGTTCGCCGTAGACTTGGGACAAAATCCGCATGTGTGCTGGTCGTTCTGTCTCTTCTTTTGCATGCTTGGGACTGCCACTTTGCTTGCGTGTTGTTGTATTGCGCTTTGTTTGCATGTAGCTGGCTCAGAACCATGGCGGAATATATGGTCACTAGCCTTCTGCGTTCTGACGGCTCAGTACAAACCACGAGCCGCGTGACACTCGAGCACCTCCCCAACTTCATCAACGGCAATGAGATCCAAATGTTCATTCGGACTCACGGCATAGCGCACCAGCAAAGTGTTCAATCCCACGGCTCGTCACGTGACGTGCCAGCGCTCACCGGGCAGCCCCGATCGCGTTCACCTTGGTCACGAATTCCGCGGATCCAGCTCACACCGGGCCCGCAAGGGCACTCGGATGAGGAAGAGGATTGGGGTGAATGGAGGAGTGATGGCAGACGCGCCCATAGTGATCAAAGGAGACCACGCTCGCCTCCGTTTCCTCCTGCTCGTGGCAGTCCTTCTGAGAACCGCATCGCGTTGGTGCCTCTCTCAGTTCGTCGGCAGGTACCTGACTTGGGGGTTCATCGCTTCAAGCTACGCACGGGGTGCCGGATTGAGGAGATCGCCATCGAACTAAACGATGTCCTCTACTACACCTTGCCGTCGATTGCCGCCTTGGTATTTCCTGAACCGGAGCTGTTGAAGAAATCTTGGGAGTCGGTCTATAGGAGCCTCATGCCGCACCGCCGCAGCATCATCGAAGATGAACAGAGGGTGAAGTCAATTTCAGAGTTTCCATTTGCTCAGCCACCACATGGAGTTCCGGGACGCTGGACGGAGCAAGTGCTCAAAGACATTTCGGACTACTTCCAGATCTCGCGGCGCTCACTACCTCAGCAACTCATCGTCCAGCTCGGCATTTGCGAGGAGAAGTGGCCATATATCAGCAGAACCACGCGGACCTTTCACCACTTCTCCGCGGACAAAAAGAACTCGCAGAAGAACCTCTTTGGTATCATCTTCTCATTTGAGCCACGCCGATTGTTGCCCGACAAGCAACGGACTCAATCGCAGTCCACCTTTTTCTGGTCCCACAACACCAACGTACAGGCTGCCATGCAAATCCTGCGTGATGAAGAACTGATCCGACCTTCGAAGTGGCAAGAACATCCCTCCCCCAATCGTGAGTGCTCCAACTGGAACGAAGTCTGGTTGCCGCCGATGGGATTCTACTGCAGAGGCAGCCTCCAGTCTCAAGAAGCGGCAATCCAATCAGCTGCGCAGTTCGGTGGAATCCGGACGGATCGCCCGGTGTGCATTGGTGGCTCTGCTCGTCTCCGACAACAGCATTGCACTATACCCCGCGGCGGCGTGTACGCGGACATAGCAGCCTCCCACTACTATGACTGCATTCATGCCAAGGATGGCAGGTGGAAACTAAGATCTTCGATCGCAGTGCCCAGTTACATGGGCATCTTCTGGTGAACCATGGTGGCTTACCAGTACAAGATCGTTGCTACTGACCCGATGTGGTGAGTGCTATGTTTGCTTTCATGATGTACATCATGACGCTCCTGTTCCGGAAAAACGCATTGTGTTGTCCGCGGCTCATGGTTGTCTTTGATGGTTCCTTTTATGGTCTTGCTTGCATGATCGGTTGTGTGCCTTCAGTTGCTTGCCGTCGCCGCTTTCAGTCATCTCTGGTGGAGTTGACCCTGGTTGTCTCGTCTTTTCGGGATTGGGATGGATCATGGAGATCTGCTACGCGATTGTCGACACATGCTACTCGCTATGTCATCGCAGATCAATTTACTTCTGGCGGGACTCCAGCGTCTTGAGGGGCAGCAGCGACATCCACAGCCGCCCCCACCACCACCGATTCCGGAAGTTCATCCCCCGCCGTTGCCGCCGCCGTCCACGGCGCCTCCGCACTTGCCAGCAACATCGGTCAGACCTGACCACATGGCAACGCCGGTCACTCTCGTGGCCACCACGGATAGCCGTGCGGAGCACCCTGCTCACACACGCACGGTGAGTGTCAGCACTTCCTGGGAACACAGACGACGGCGAAGATCTAGGCATCGTGAGCCGCACCGAAGACGATCCCGCAGCCATCATCGACGGCTCCCAGAACGTCCTGTCGATGCAGTTCCAGTGGGCCGCCGTCATGCTTATACTCCTAAGTATCCACCGGCAGTTAAAGCCATGCCAGCTTGCAGACCGTCTGGTCTGCCCTATGAACGATGAGGGAGCACCAGCGACAAAAGTACGTCAGAGTTTGCTACATTCATGCTTGCATTTACCTTATCTCTGTCATGCCGCAGCATTATCGCTTTGCAGCTTTGCTTGAGTTGACCTTGTGGTTTGATCGGTTGCCATGCAGTTGTCAGCTGAGTTTGTGAATAACCTGGTGGCTGTGCTCAATGTCCTTGCATCCCAAGTGGCGACAGCTTTGGACACCCTGAACTTTGCCTTGATGACGGAGCGTGGTCGTCCGACTGACACGGTGGTCACCCCAAGAGCACCAAGAAACTCCAGACATGGGTTGCGGCCCCGCATCATCACGGAGCACCCCTCATCTGACAGATCTCGATCACCCGCACGCATTCGGGGTCGACCGCTGGACACGTCATCTACCTGGTACATACCGGCTTTGTCCCCGCCTCGAGCGGCACATCGTGATGCTAGTGACCACAATCCGGGAGCTCGGCCCGAATCGATGTTGGATCGACTACCACCTCCTCGTCCCCTTGCTCCTATCGCGATACACGGTGGACGAGAGCCAGGACAAACGACGCCTACGACACCTGATTCGGATTCTGATGGTTCGATACGTCCGCATCCAGGCGCCTCGTCGTTCCGGCCGTCACCGGCGGTGGTCCATGGTCCTCGTGAACTTCTACAAGAATTTACCATTGCACTTCGCAATGCGTACCGTGAACCTTTCACGGCATGGACACAGGGTGAGCTGGATGAAATGGTGAGACGAAAGAAGGATAAAGATTCCAGACCCACCTATAAGACCATTGCGCGGTTTCTTCAGAAGCCGATTGAGGAAGTCAAGCAGGCATGGAAGGTCTATCAACAACTTGAAGCTCGCGGCTAGCAACATGCCCGACAAATGCAGCAACGACCATTGATGGACCAAATGATACGCAGCGGCGGTGT